TGTTCACTGAATATTTATTACCTTCCAGCCCTGGGACGCTAGTGGGGAACAAGACAGTCCTGCTTTCATGAAGCACCATTCGACAGGTGGCATTTAAACCAGGCCACCCCAGTCTCCACCTGTGACGCCTCAAAGAACGTGCTCCACAGCAACCGTGGGGTCAGGTTGGTTGACTTGGATCAAAATCCACACTCTATTTATTAGCCTTGTGACAGAGAATTGCAGCCTGTCTGTCTTCCTATCCTACCAGGCTCCTGGGAGGACTACTACAGTGGCTGTGATTAATAAATGGTGGTTATTTACTGTTTTTTTTTTTTTTTAGCAGAGCAACTCCCCCACAGCTCAACTTGCAGCCCAACAGACAGGTCTATAACGTGAATGGTAACACCAGGAGGTACACACTCCTTAGATCAACCGACCATAGGCGATCAAAAGGGAGCACTGCCCAGGGATGAAGCTCAGAAGGCAGGAAGGGGTAGGAAAGGAGGACAAATGTACAGTAGACAAAAGGAGCAAGTGGGAAGAGTGCCTTTATACTGTGGGGACTGAAACCACATGTCACAAAACAAGTGGATATGAATCGTTCAATGGAAAACCAACTTGTTCACCCAAATTATTAAAAACAAATTATTTTAATAAAAGATCAGAGTTTAGGGAAAAAAAAAAAAAAAGCCAAGAACATCCCTGTCCATGTAATGGACTACAACGATGAAAACCTCTAAGCTGTGCAATCAGGAAGCCACTAGTTACACGTGGCTTCTGAGGGCTGGAAATGTGCTCAGCGGAGTGTGCACTCCACAGCGTGGGTCCAGGAGGCTGCCATTCAGGGGAACAGACAGTGCAGTAGAGGAATGTGGGGAGTCAGTGGGAGGGGTGGAAGGGCCAGGGTGGCTGCAGAAATACGGCCAGCTGCAGAGGACACGCTCTGATGGGCTAGGGATGCCCTCACCCCCCCAGAACGGAAGAAAAACCAAACTCAGGTTCTTAACAAGTCCAGACTAACTGGACCAAATTGGGACTGGAGGACTTCCTGAGACTCACTGTCCTGAGATACTCTTTAAACCTTGAACCGAAACATTCCTGAGGTCACCTTTTGGCCAAGTAACAGATGGGCACACAAAGTAAAGGAAATATCCATGTCCAATCTGCAAGTGTGATGCTCCATTAAAAAACCAGCTGTATGAGGCCAGAAGGTCAACAGTTACTCTAAAGCAAAGATGACACGGTTAAGGGGACAGGGCAAACAGAGCACCGGAAAGAGAACCACCCGAAGGCAATTACAGAGAATGTCAATACGCTGAAAAAACGCAGATGCACAATCTATGTAGCAATTGTCAAGTGAGAACCAGAGTTTGCGGTGTAAACTTTCACCAAAAACACATTATTCTCACACACTTTTTTTAAAGGGCTGGGAATGGCAGGGGCAGGTGGTACAACGATAGTGGTGTGACTGATTTCAAGTACAAGGAGGAAAGGAGAAGGCGCCTCAGAGGGTATGTTAAGTGAAAGACGCCAAACACAGCCACATACTGTGTGATTCCATTTCTATGATGTGTCCAGAACAGGCTAAAGCTGTGGATTAGTGGCTGAGGGGAGGAGGCTGAGTGTGGAGAGGGGTGATGCTGTGAACGGTGCAGTCATGAAAATGCTCTGAGGCAAGGCTCCAGTGACAGCCGCACAAGTGTCAGTGAACCATACACTCTAAACCGGCGGATTATGGTGTGCGAATTACATCTCCACGAAAAACCACCACAAACTCACTGCTCATTCACAGTGATCCCCTGTGCGTCAGAGCTCCGTAAGACTTCATCTGGGCTGTTACCTTTATGTAAGCAAATCTGTAGGTTTTTCTACAGTGCCACTGGGTGGGTTCTAACCACCAACCTTTTGGTTAGTAGCCGAGCACAAAGTGTGCCATCAAGGGACCTGATGCATCTCAACAGTGCAGTTTAAACAAAAACTAAACCTCAGAAGGCCTTACATTAGTGAGACACCCTCTCCTCTGCCCTCCAGCAAAAAGGGGGATGGGGATGGGTCACACCTTGTATGTAGACTGTTACAGGTGTAGGGATGGCACAGTTGAATGCGTTCCATTTCTCATTCTAAGACTGTCCCTTTAACATTATAAAAAGAGAGGGAGCCCTCTGACTGAACCTTACCAGTAAAGAAAGTCAACGTATGCAGAGAAACTAACCACCAGATGGTGGGGTTGGCAAAGAGTCCTGAGAGGGAAGGAAAACGTTAGAAAAAGGCGTCAGATGCAAGAAGAGAAGCCATTTCGCTCTCTCCCGGAAGATAAATGTTATCAGACGTTAGCTTGACACTCCCAGTGGTGAAGGGACAACCGGGTCTTTCATCTCCTTCCCGATGGCTTGTCTTCCTCAGGGTCTGAGATGCTCAGGTGAGCACAGCAGTTAAGCAAGGAGGGCTGGGGACGCTGGCTGCCAACAGACAGCGAGTGGCTGCCCCTGCCAGGAGCCCCGAGCGCTGCAACAAACACGGTGCTGAGAAATCCAGAGACAAGACGAAAAGTGACCACACGTGGGGTTTTAAAAGGAACACAAAGCACTGAACGAAGACAGCGCTCCCACTGGCCACTCCTCAGAAGGAGGACTGGGCAATCTACTTCCGTAGAGATACTGCCTCAGAAACCCAAGGAGGGGTCGCTGAGAGTCATAATCGACTCCAAAGCAATGAGTCTGTTTTTGTTTTTTTTGGTTCTGATCATAAAGATGTAATTCTTCTTCATTAACACTTTTGTTAAAAACCATATTCTTGGCATCATCTTTTTTGTTGTAAAGTAAAAGCTGCAACAGACTTAAGTATAAGAGATGCTTAAGTGCTACGTACTCTACTTTTGCATGATGGCATATCTTAAGTACATGGACGTACTAAGAAGGCAAAGGCTTATAGGCAAGAGCCATCACCTTGACCTTGAGTCAGACAGTCCCTGGTTGGCCATCTTGGCCCTCCGCTACACTGACTTCCCAGTGTCAAACAAAGAACTCTTTGATCTTTGACATGGAGACTGTATGCATGGTGATGTAATTTCACATTATTTTAAAACATAAAATTGGCATATTCAACTTTTGATATCACACATCTTAATGGTAAGAATGAAGCTGAAAAAAGCATGTTTCACGTTGATTTAAAAAAGTATCAGGTAAAGAGGCGCTTAGGAGGTGCCAGATACTGTAGAGTTTTGGCTACAGACAGGATACTCAGCAGCTGCGGTACCACTGAACACTCTGCATACTGAAAGAGGATGAGAGGGACAAAGCTGCAATGACTCAACATCAGTGGGAGCCACAAAAGTTATCGCGTTGGTTCCCCATGGTCTCTTCACTAAGCCTAGAGGTACAAACACCTGTGATGAGGCCGTGTGCAGGGGGGTGAATGAGAGCACGGTTATTTGCTTTCACTGGGTTGTTTACTCATCAGTGGTTAAGAGACAAGACTCGGGAGGCAGCAGGCCGGCCTGGTTTGATTCTCAGGCCCATCACTTCAGACTGTGATCTCGTGCAGGCAACCCCATTTATTTAAACCTCAGCTTGCTCATCTGTAAAACAGGGGTGGTAACAGTAGCTACCTTCCACAGTAGCTATGGACACTGGAATGTCCGATGTGTGTCAGTCCTTTCCCATGGCAACCGGATTGTGGTGAATACCAGCTAAGATAATTCCTGCATATCAATACAAAGTTCTGATCTTTTAAATATGTATTTTCTGGGGAAAAAAAAAAAAAAACTCACTCACTGCCATCGAGTTGGATCCAACTCATAGTGACCCCTCCTTGGGTTTCCAAGGTGGTATCACTATGGAAGTAGATTGCCCAACCTTCCTTTCGAGTTTGAACCACCAGCCTTCTGGGTAGCAGTCGAATGCCTTAGGCACTACACTACCAGAACTCCTATATGTTTTAGGGAACAGAAATAGTTAAGTGAGTAAAATAGCACTTAAAATGCAGAATCTGGTAGACAAAATCTCCTAAACCCTCCACTACCATCATTTGTTTGGAAACTAAGTGGATAGTATCAAACAAGGATCCAGTCCGGGAGATGTTGGGTTAGATCAGGTCCAAGAGGCCTTTTTACCACCAGACTTCTCAGAACTATGAAGATGCCGACTGCTATTAGGAGCTAGAAGGTGGAACGAATACTCCCTGATATATTTGCACTAAGAACCCTCACTTTTTGGAGCCATTTCATGGGCTAGTACTCAACACATGCCCACTGGGAAATGCTACTCCAGACATACACACCCAGACACTGGGGGTAGGGGGTGCATTCGAGGCCTGGCCCAACTCTGAGCAGGCCACATGCGAGTTGCCTGCCTCTGGATAGGCGTCCAGTCAAAAGGGTTGGTCTAACCCGGAAGGACTGGGAAGCCCAGGAGAGGACGGCAAAGGCAGGGCAGGAGTGGGTAAGGAAAAAACAAGCTTACACTTCAGCGAGACAGCCTGTGATTCTGGACTAAGTGAACCTTAAGTCCTGAGGCTGAGGAGGCCTTAGGTGTAGCGCTCTAAATTTGAAATGCTTCCCCTGGAGAGTGATCTAGATTCCTGGGTAGGAAACAGAAGGACTCTTGGGAACATGCTCTCTGTGACCTTGTACTGAGATCAAAATGAGGGAAACAAAGGCTCACCCCCCTTCAGCTGGAGCTTGAGGACTGAGAAGACTACCAGCACGGCATGGGATTGCGCCCTGGTTCACGACACCAGGGGATGTAGTGCACTAGCGGGTCTGCAGCCGGTCTGTGGGCAGCCGTTACTGAGCACCAACACGACGGGCACGTGAAGTAAGGCTGCTCGAGTGCAAGTGCACCCACACCAGCAGAGGTTTTGCCAACGTATCAGAAGATGGGGAAGGCACGCTTTCTTTCAGGAGACTGTGGTGGGTTCACCTCCACACCAACAGGTACCTGAAGGTGAAATCTCAGCAGCCCCCCACACCCCAAGGACCCACTGCCTATCCCAAACAATAACTTCAAAGACAACATCAATTCTTCTCAAACAGTTTAATAGCAAATAAACAAAGGAAGGTACCACACTTGGCAGATACAAAATGATTTTTTGTCCGTGTGTCTGTGCAATTAAAACAGATTTAGGTTCCCCATTGGGACAAAAGGGAAACACACAAAAAGGAAGGCGACTCCTTCTAAACACGTACCCCCTTGCTCCAAACTTGTAACAATTTTTTTTAACCCACTACACAAACTCTGTGATCAATCAGAAAAGCTTGGACAAGGGCTCTTCTTGCTATTTTCTTTTTTAAACCATTAAAGTAAAATCCATAATTTTCTACAAAGTACAACACAAGTTCACACAAAAAAAGACATTTTCTTTTGCAAATCAAAACAGGAAAGAAAGGAAAAGCTCAAACGAGGGAAAGGGAAAGCGTTTCTACGGCTGAATCACGACTTTGAGTTGATTGAATCCCGTTGTCGCTGTAGAACAGACTGTGCGTTTGGTCATAGTGGCAATTTTTTTTTTTTCTCTTCACATTGTGAAATCACTTTACATTGTTTTCTAGTAGAAAAGGCAAAAAACTGTACAAAACCCCTAGTGTTAAATACAACGTTTGTACCAATAAAAAACTCACACAGGTTTGTCTTCAAAATGTAAAGTTTCTTTTTTTTTTTTTTCTTTTTAAATTATTCACAAAAAGCAGCTGGAAATCAGAAAGGCAGCTGCCGCTCCAGGGTCTCAAATCCATTAAAACCACCACAGAACAAGTAAAACAATCAGAGAGAGAAAAGGAAAAGGAACAGTGTCCAACGTTTGGCATTTGGTTTTATCCACAGGTTTTCCCAGAGCTCCTCTTGGAACTGAAAGCAAAATATATTGGCAAACACGGACCCTCAATACACAGGAAGGGGAGCCTCCGCGCCTTCTGCCAACAGAGGCGGCTCTGTGCAGTCAGACTGTGGGGCACACAGCAGTCTCACTCAGGCTGGGGGTTCTGGCCTCTCTCCATCCAATCACCCCTCCCAGGAAACTGAGCAGGCTACTCTACACCCTGCAACTAGAAGTGGTCTCAACCATAATCCTAGGCAACCTGCTGGGTCCCAGAGCAGGAATTGTCCCGGGACCCCCTCCTTCACCAAGGCCGGCCCAGATGACGCGAAGCAGTGCTTCTTCCTTCCCCTCGGCCACACCTCTCCATCCTTCCCCGGACAACCAGGCATCCTGCTTCCTAGCTCTCCCACCACCAGCAGCTTAGGTCTGGGTGGGAACGTCATCAACGCCTCCCTCTCAACCTCTCACCTCCACAGACTCGCCCGTGCTCTCATCTCCAATGGCCTCTCCCCCTGCCCTTTACATCCTTACTTAAGTTCCCAAGGTCTTAAGGCTGGATGGTGCCACGAGAGAGGAGGGCAAGCTCCCTTCAGGGAACCAAGGAACTGGCTTGCCTGGTACCCACGGACAGTAGCTATTTGGCTCTTCACCCAATTTAAAAACCAACTCTTCCTCTTCACCCCCACCCCACTAGCTAAGCCAGAACAGAGCTGTGGTGAAGAGCCAGTGTGGGGCGGTTGGTGTCCAGGGCTGTAAACAGTGTGAAGACTGCAGAATTGTGCTTTTCACCGAGGAAAAGTGCCAGCAGGTACACTGCCGCTTAGCACTCAGATGGCCTCCTAGCAGTGACTACGAGCACCCGCCTTTCTCCGGGCCGAGGGGTGCTCATCCCCATAATGTGCTAAGCCTTTCTGCCCACCCACAGCCACCTTCTGGGTTCCTGTCTCTGCGCCCCTTCGCAGCCCTCCTGAGCAGAGCAGCCAGCCTCCTGGAAGCCCCACGGAGGCCTGGAGGCCACACGAAGTGACAGTCTAAGTGCACAGGCAAATGCTCTAAGGGCAACAGAGGAGAAAGTTGCCACTTCAAAATCAAACAATACAATCTTGGAGGAAAAAAAAATCAACCCCACAACAATTTAAAACAACTTCTTTGAAACCCTTTTAAATCGGTCAGTTTTTGCACAAACTATAGAAAACAGAGAGGTGAAGGTGATATATACGAAGGTGTGAGGGAACAGCAGGAAACATGCAAAACTTGTTTTTTCTGGGCATAATCTTAGTAGGAAAGGAAAAAATTCAAACAAAAAACATAAAACCAAAACCAAAAAAAAAAAAAAAAAAACATCAAAGCATCACATTTTGCTGTGGAGACTGTTAGGAACAAGCGTAGAGGGGGATGCAGGCAGGGCCAAGGGGATGGGGCAAGAGGGGTCCAAAGGCTCCCCACAGGGAAGAACCAAAAAGAAAAAGGAAAAGGGCTGGCTGGGGCCCAGACTGCAGCCTGCGGTCAACAAGGAAAGGGAGGTCAGGTGTTTTCTGCAGTTGAGAACTTGGAAAAACAAAAATCAGAACACATGCGGTCTCCTCAAGCCCCACAAACTGTATCAGCAAAATGTGCTCAGGAGCCTCAAAGGTTTGAGTGACATCTTTTATTTCATTGTTTACTTCAAAGTTGTCTTTAAAACTATGCACACAGAGAAACAAAGCCTAGAAACGGACCGGCTGTGTTCACGGAAATACAAACACCACGGGGCTGTGCTAGTAGGGCTGCTCTGAAGACAGTTACAAAGAATTGGAATCACAAAATCAAGTGGTTATCTTATGAAGTTCTAGAAAAATAGATTTTTTTTTTTATATTCAAATGCAAGTTTAAATATTTCCCCTTCAGCAGTCGTTCTAGCAAAACCAATTTGGCAGCACAAAAGAAAAAAATAAAAGGAAAGAAAAAAGAAAAAACAAAGAAAGAAACAAACATAATAAAAATACACGTCAGCATCAAAGGTCAACACAAGGTCAAAGGTGAGAGTTCAAGCATCAGAGAAGCTGAAGAGACAGGGATTTGGACGATGTACTTGACGCCACATCGACATGCTTTAGGCACAACGATGAACAAACGGCAGGAATCTAGAAAAAAAACAAACCAGAAAGAGGGAGACCCACTGAGTTACACAGAGCAATACATCCAAACAGAGAGAGAGAGCAGAGACACTCACTGTGTGGACAGCCCTGAAATGAGGAGGCGGGGCACTGGTAATGACAGGGAACTTTTGCACATGCTAACAATGGACACACGGGAAAGTCAAAGGACATGGAGGACACTGAGAAAACATCCAACTGCCAGACAGATGGGACCTAAGGCTTGGATTTCCCCCGAAAGGCCCAAACACAGGAGAGAAGGCCCCAGCTCTCCCCGCCTCCCAGGTCATGACCCAGGCTAGAAGCAGGAGGTGCTGGCTCGGGTAGGAGAAGTCACTGGGGAAGAGGGCCAGGATTTCTCAACGCTACAGGGATGGCTCTCTGTTCCCGGAAATCCAAGCTCTTAGCTTCCCCGCAGGCCCCAGCCACTCCTGTGGAACCCAGGAGATGGTGGTCTGGCTGCATTCAGGACAAATCAATTTCACGATGTAACCCAACGAAGAAACACAACCACAGCAGAAAACATCATACATGAAAACCCCATACAACAGAAAAGGATTGCTAAGACTTGACTGCGAGTCTCTATTCTCTGAGCTGAGCCCTTGACAGACTTGGAGGGGAGCAGCTTCTTCACAAAACCATCTTTGGCCTGGGGAGAGAACTGTGCTCAAGGACAGTGCTGCTGCCGTGCTAACTCACTGGGCAGGGGACTGGCGAGGACAGAAATGCATGGTCTCACCAACTGGCTGCTTTAGCAGCCCAGACCCTGCTGGGGTACATACTCCTTTTAGAAAAGAGAAGCCACCAGCAGGTATGAAACCTCAGGTCTGTACCAAAAACAGGTTGATTGCACCTTTGCCTTGTCATTGGGAAAGGGGTTTCATTAAGTGCTCCCTGCTCAGGCAGAACCTGAGGACAAACAATGGTGAGGTGGGGGAAGGGGGAGAAAGTGGGAACAGGACAGGGCTCTGGGCTTGGGGTAACCATACAATGGCTGGGGAGGCAGAGAGAACAGAAGGTTCGCAACCACAGCAGGGGCGGCACCCTGTGGAGCACAGCTCTCTCCTCCACCAATTCACAGCATTAACTCCTTCCCCCTCTGGCGGATTAGCTGGGCTGCAGACGGGCCACAGAAAGTCAGTAGTTTCAATCATACACAGCACCCTGTGTGTACAACAATCACATTCTGGATTCTACAAAATCCTGGCCTTTTCCAGAGATATAATTTAGGTAATAAATATTCTCCACCCCGGAGCTGTATAAAACTTCTATAAAAATAGAAACGACATTCTTGGTTCCAGCCGGTTGGGATTCAGAACAGCGCCTCCCCAACCTAGCATTTTTTTCTTTTTTTGTTTTCTTTTTTCTTTTTCTTTTTATTTTTTGCATTTATTTAAAAAATCCCATCATGCCCCTGGAAGCCTTTGGACAGTTTTATCCTTTGAAACACAGGACACATTTCTCCCAGTGTGCAGAATTCAAGTTTACAAGGTTCAGCTTAAGAAGTACGTGTTTCACGTCTCTTAGAGGACAACAGACCCACGTTATCACTGTAAGAAGGGAACAGCTGTTACAGCTTCAAGGGGGGAAAATCCAACACCACCAACTACTTGCACAACAGCAAGATGGTCAACCCCTGTCTGTGACCCAAAAGGACAGCACGACAAGGAGAGGGCCCTATGTGACTTAATAGCAAACCAATCCCCTTCTTATTTCTGCTTCTACGGCCCGGACTGATGTCTGTGAGGTTTGAGATACCAGGGACACAAGCCCTGGCCTTGGCTAATGGCCTTCCCCAGGGGCATTCCTTAAAGGGACCTCCACCCAGGTATCATTCCCCACTCATCCTTCCTGGCTCTCCACCCTCAGAGCATTTTTTGGAGCAGAGGCAGAGCCCAGGGGCTGTGTGGGCCACAGGCTAGAGCAGGAGCAAAACCTGTGGGAGGCAACAGGGAGCTAGCTGTAAGCAAAGACAAATATGAACACAGTAATACTGAGGTAAATGAACACTAAATCCATACGGAGGGTGTAAACGTCCTATTGTCTCCCTCTGTCCCCAACAGCAGAAGATGGGCTGAAATGATTAAGAGAAGGGCCTGCCAGGCCTCTATGGGGACATGACATCTGGGACATCTCAACCAAAGGGGCAAGTACACATTTCTCCATCCTCTTAATACTAAGTGTGGGCCACTAGGAAATGTGGGACCCTGGCTTGAAGGGACTCTCTGATTCAGGTCTACCAAGAAGCAGGCTCCTTATCTCCCAATTAGATGGCTTCTGATTACTCTGCCCAGGAGAGCTGCCCCCTTCAACTAGATAGTGCAAGCCCTTCTTGATTGTGCCTCCATGATAAAAATGGTGCCTCCTTTCTTGGTGAACTGCAAGGAAGGAAACAAACTAGGCAGTTACCTTCCCTAGGGGGCCATGCTCTACAACTTGGGGTTGAAATAAAAGGCCCAAAAATGACCTCTGACAGACTGCTTCTCCCAAGCAGCCACTGGCCAAGCAGGGTCAATCCAGTATCAACGGCTGGCTGGGAAAGCAGGTAATGGGTGAGGTCCGGTGGGTCTTACTTTTTTTTTTTAAATCAGGCAAATTTATAGGTGCTTTACTCCTGGAAAATCGGTAGCCTCCCTTCTTGGGAAAGAGGGGCAAAGATCTAGGACAAGAATCTGAAAATTAGGTGGCAAAAGCTCAGTACTCCCACAGAAAGCAGCCACGGGGGAGCTTTAGCTTCCAGCTCCAGAGGCCGACTGGTGTCAGTCAGTTATTCCCACACTTCACAAAGCCAACCTGCCTTGTCCCGCCCCACTCCCACAGCGCCTGGATGTCAGTTCCATGCCATCCACACTCACACTCGGGGAGATTCTGGGAGTCAGTCTTTTGTTTCACTCAGTCCTCTCTCTTGGGGGTAGTAGGCTGGGGCAAGTTCTGATCTTCTACAATGTTCCCCATCCCCCCTCTCCCAGGGCGGTTTGGTGTTGGTCCTTCTCAACACACACTGGTTACAAACACAGCAAACTTTAAATAAAGGAAGAGGAGGGGAAAAAACAACAACAACAACAACAACAACAAAAAAAAAAAACCTCAGGATATGGCACCTAAACTCCAAAGTAAAACACTGGAAACCAAAGCACAAACTTGTCCTCTGTACGAAGCGAAACTCCCACAGAAGGCAGTAGCTGAGTCTTCAGGGCAAGCTGTGCCTGCGAGAGTGGCAGGGATCAGGGTCCAGGGCTGTAAGCACACAGCCATAGGGCTTCGAATCATTAAGGGTGCTCCTCCCCCACTTACCAGAAGACCCTCTCACTCCAGTCTCAGAGGGGAGCACGCTCAGTAGGGCTTGCTGTCATTCTTCGAACGTTTGAGCTGCACTTTAAGCCGCTTCATGCCAATCTGAAAGCCGTTCATGGACTGGATGGCAGCTTGAGCGGAGACAGGATTGTCGTAACTTACAAAACCTGTGGGTCCAAGCAGATAGAAGCCTAGGTGAGGGACATAACGAGGCAACGGGATTCTCAGTCCTCCTCACACAAGAGATCCCTAGGTGACTCATCTCAAATCTCAATTTTTCTCAGCAAGGACAAGAGTTCTAGAAATCCTATCACATGAAATGAATTAGATACCTATAGTACCACTCGATAGCTACCTGTTTTTTCCCCAAATCATTTTCCACCTACTTCTGTATCTTACCTTTGGAGCAACAGTGTGAGGAGAAATCATCTTCATCACAAAAGGCTCCAAAAAGAGGTCGTGTGACCGCCAAAGGTGGAGTAAACAGTAACTCAAACTCACACCCAGTTCTTTCTGCGATGAATTACCTGCCTTTTCTTTCTCAGTGGTTAAAATACTGAATCCCACCCTGACACCAAAAGAGAAGGCAACATACCAAAACACTTGCTCAGGTTTGTCTGCTTGTCTATGAAAACCTTGGCAGACACGACATTCCCAAAGGGCATAAACATCTGCAACAGGTCCTGATCTCCAAACTCCTGGGGCAGGTGGTAGATGAACAGGTTGGCGCCCTCCGGACCTTCAAAACACCATTGATTAGGAAGGTGTCAGTGTCAAGCACGCTCCTCCCCCTGCACCAACTGCCTTTCTTTCTCACCTGTGTTCAACTGCCACAATCCCACCATTCATGTGGGTAACTCAACACAGCCCCCAAAGTAGGAAGCGAAGCGTAATCTCTGAATTAGATCCCTTCCTCTGCATTTAGCCATGACCTGTCTCAGCAAGGGATGTTCAATTTCCACCTTGGGGGAGGAGGGTGTACTGGGACAATAAGGCAGACATGCCTGTGGAGCAATGAAATCAGAGACTGGGGGCTCACAGAGAAGCACAGAAGCTACAGGCTTCAAACCATGCCTAGAACCAACGGAATGCTATATACTAAGAAGGGCAGATTTCACTGATGTCTACTATTATACCTCAATTTTTTAAAACCTGTATTTTTCAAATGGTGGCTAGAATAAAATCTCGGGAGGCCCTGGATTGTACAAATGATCAACAGCTGCTAACCAAAAGGTTGGAAGTTCGAGTCCACCCACAGGGACCTTGGAAGAAAGTCCTAGCAGTCCACTTCTGAAAAACCAACCACCGAAAATGTTACAGAGCATGGTTCTACTCTGACACACAGGCAGCATAAGTAGAAGTCGACTTGGCAGCAACTTTCTCCTGGGGGGACCAATTCTGGGTTCAAAAACAGAGTAAGCTTTCCTCTTCTGACCACTCACACGCAACAATTTTCTAATCAAAGAACCATTCTATTCTATTGTAACCACAATCCAGCCATTCTCCAGCCACACCCACACCAGCCTCTCAAACACATCATGGACCACTCCTGCCTCAAGGTCTTTGCTCTGGTGGCATAGTGCCTAAGGCATTTGACTGTTAACCAGAAGGTTGGTGGCTCAAACCAACCAGCTACTCCATGGAAGGAAAATAGGGCAATCTACTTCTGTAAAGATTGACCACCTTGGAAACCCACCTGGAGTTGGTGTGAGTCAGACTCCACTTGATGGCAGTGAAGTTTGGTTGGGTTATTTTTGTTTTTTGTATCCCTAATTAGAAGCGCTGGTGGCACAGGTTGGTTGGTTTGTTTTTTCATGTCCTAATTATATTTTTCTCTCTACTTATACTCATGACTTGCTTCCTCACTTCCTTCAGGTCTTGGACCACCGTATAACCTAAGTGTTCCCAGCACTCCCTGCCTCTCTTCCCAGTTCCTCATTCTTCAGAGCATGGTCTGAAACACCTAATGCTTTAACTTGCTTACTGTCTGTCTCTAGTCTCCACTGAACAGTCCAGCTCCATGAGGGCTGAGATACCCCCACCCCAGGCCAAAGACATGTCCAATTTAGGGCAGGTGAGCAGGGATTCCAGACGAGAGTTCCCTGCTGCTGTGGCAAGAGAGGATATTTGCCTCTTTCCTACACATTAGGGCTTAAACCTTGCTAGCTCCTAGTTATAAAACCCCAGTTAAAAATGAGCACAAAGGTGTCAGGAGCTCTTTTTCTCATATACCTTTCTGCTTAGAAAGTCTCTCCTAAATAAACACTATTATGTCAAAACAAATACTTTCCACTCCTTCAATCTTGGGTCATAACTGCTTTGTGCCATCACTCCTCACTTTGTCCTCAATTAGGAATAGCAGAGATCAGAAAGTGAGGGAGATAAATGCCCCATGATATAGCTATAAGGGTCTCTTGGACAGATCTCCTCTGACAGACTGACGGAAGTCTTCCTAACAAAAACAGATTCTTATGCTTGTCAAACGATGTCAGACACAGTAAGGCTGGCATCTGTTTTCTTCATCTAAAAACCACTGTTGCATCCCAGAAGGCATATAGGGGTTTGACCTGTGCCACATCCAGAGAACATTACAAGTGCGGATGACACCTTTGCAGACTTTCTCAGTTTATACTGTCAAAAAAAAAAGTGTTGGTCTGACCACCAAAATGATTCTCTTGACTTGTTTTCTGCTGTTCAGCTTTAACGCAAACAAGACTAACCTTACCGGTCCCTCACTCCAATCACTCCCTTCGCACTTACCTTCCTTCTGGCTTCCAGCAGCACCGATACTCTGCTGTGTCAACAGATTCTGGTTGTACAGTGTGGGGAGCGCCGCGGCAGCGTACTGCTGGATCCCCGAGTAGGCCTGAGTGAGGGCCTCCATGGTGCTCCCGGTGCCATTGGAAAGGCCACTGCTGCCCAGGCCGCCATTCAAAGCAGCCATCCCTTAGTTGGGGGAGGAGCAGGATTAGTATATTAGAAAGACTCAGTAGGCACCAAAGGCAGGTACACGGGAAAGATCTAGATGAGGGAAAACTCCCAAGTTCTTCCTTTCACCTCTCCCTTAGTGTCTCCTTGAGGGGGAATACTCCATCTAACTGGTCAGATTTTAGGACACCCACCAGGCCGCTACTCTAGTGGAGACACCAGAAAATGTCACAGTCAGGCGTGGCTCTCCCCCAAGACCCTCTTTGTCTGTGGGAGAAGTGATCCCATGCACACATGAGGGTCCCCATTTTCTCTGTGGTGTGTCTGTCACTTTCTCACACAGAGCTGGACTGTGGTAAAATCAGAGGCCCAGGTGATACAGGAAAGGACAAACCTGGCTCAATTACAAGACGTGGGTAAAGTCTACCATCACAACAGCAGCTACCTTTGTCAAGCCCATACTACGTGCCCAGCCGTCCTAGGCAATGTGCTCACCTCCTCTGCATTCTCATTTAACTCACAATAACCCTCTGCAGTTTTGTCACTTTTTTTAACTCCCACTTCACAGATGAGAAAATGATCTTGGAAAAGGTGTCCCAAATTATAATAATTAATGAGCAGAAGTGAGATTTAGCTCAGGTCTGACCTGAAATCCCATGATTATTTCTTATTCCACTGGCCCACCCTAATCACTCTAGAGGTCCTTACACCAGGGTTGTTTAAAACATGCTACCTGCACCAGGAATGGCCTGATGATACCTAGAGGCTGCCCCTTACCTGCCAGAGAGCTGACGTTGAGGCCAGCCGTTGCTCCAGCTAATGTCTGCAGGGCTCCAAGGGAGGCTATCGGGTTGACAGAGTTGCTGCTGCTGGAGCTAGGTGAGGACCCTGCTATTAGAAATCCCATAGTTAAACTCAAGCCATTGTGTGCCTTCTCTTGTCAACAGGTATCAAAGCACCAGAGTAGTAGCAATACCCAAGGACTCTATTTGCAAAGTTTTCAGTTATTAATTCTGATAACTGTCCTTGTAGGCCATTAAAAAAGAAAAAAAAAAAAAAGAGGGAGAGCGAGAAAGAGAGCTCTAGCAATCCAAAAATTATGAGATTTCTCTTAAGTCAGAAGATGACATTTGAAAATTTGGGAAATGGGTGTTAAGTGGTTTCCAGAATGACACACCCCTCTCTGCGGTGTCTGCCTTCACACAGAGAGGACCTGCCCACGGCATGCAACAGCACACTGGCCTCTATGACGCACTTACCTGAACTGGTGAGTACGCTGAGGGGACTGCTGGATGTAGTAAGAGCATTGGTACCACTTGGTGTGTTCTGTGCTGCGCTAGCTGCAGCAGCTAGTGCTGCCAAATTCTGTAACTGCATTGCATTTAACCCTGCAACATCCAAAGCAAGAGATCAGCCAGCAGACAAAGGTACCTCCTATCAGCTGCAGCAATGACAGCACCCTGGCAGAAGACTGGTCCCAGACAAAGAGGCTTGTTCTACATAAAAGCTTTGTAAGCAACACTACAGGGCTCCAGAGAGAGTTAGGTAGCACTCAACTCCTTAAGAAACTTGACACAGTTTTCTCAGAGAAGAGAAATCTATTCCAACAGCATACCGCTCCAAGTGAGCATTAATAAAGGGGTGGGCGATTAGGAATCCAGGGAAGGGGTGTACATCTGTGGCTTACCATAGGGTCAAGAGCCCAAGAGAACAACAATGCCAAAACCTGTGGCCCAGAACGGGATGGTGTCCAAGCCCCTCACTCACACTTTGTGGGGGATTTTCTCTTTGCAATGGAGGTAAACAGCAGAAAATGTAGCAGAAGGAGCTTTAGGAAGTCAAGGAACAGTACCAGGGAAGAATAATGTGCAAACAGCAACAGGAGAAAGAATCAAGAGGAAAGAGAAACCCCTGAACAGGAAATGAATGATCAGAAGAGGAGGGGAGAGGAACCTCTCAAGCAGAACCTAGGCAACACTGTTAAAAAAGGGGAGAAAGAAATCTGAACTGTGCTGACGAGACACTGCAAACCATTTACCAGATGATGGAAAGGCAGAATGGGGACAAGGAGTGGGAAGAATGAGTAAGAACAAAAAACTACAATATAGACTACATCTAGCACCTTTCCAAAAACACAGCAAGCTATTATAATTCCCTGAGAAAAACCAAATCACTATCAAAAGTTTTCAAACAGCAAATACAGTTTAGCTAAAACTACCCCTTTCTCAATGTGCTCGTACAGCCTGATCCCACTGTAGAAGGGGCATGCGGCTGCTACCTTTAAAACCATCCTACTCCCTGCCCTCACCAACTTTTCTGATGTCCCGACTCAGATTTGTTTGTAGAGTCCTGTTTTTTAGAAACTTGGCTATTGGTCCTTTTTTTCATGCATGTTAACAACGACCACAATAAAAAAGGTAATTCACCCAAGGAACAGCATGTTTAAGAACCAGAGGTAAAGAGACTAATGGCCTGAGTGCTCCAGCAGCTTTGGGGTAAGTCATCTGCACAGAAGCCATCTTTGGCTTTCTTTCACAATGTCACTGGAAGACCCGTTTTGTTGTGGAAATAAAGAGTTCTTACAATTTCCCCCATTATCAGAATGGCTATATAAAGCCCATAGGTGCTAATAGCTCCTTTCCATTTTCTTTCCCCATAAAGACTTAAAGGGGTAAGGGCTGTCCTAAGAACAATCTAGCATCCACTAATGATAGAGCCATCTCAGAGACAAGGCAGTTGAGTACTAGGGTGCACATCTCCTGGTTTAAGCAATGAATGAAAACGTTTTCTCTCTGCACAGAAGTTACAAAACTCTGCCCCTGCTCCTTTAAGGCACAAGGTGGATGCTGCCAAACGTTCAGGCTGTTGTTAGCCGGGCCTGCTGGCCTGGCGGCGGCTGCTCCTCCACAACAGCAGAACACTTACCTCCCATTGGGTGGAGGCTGCTCAGGGTGTTGAGGTTCCCAGAGGAGGCAGTCTGCTGAAGGAGCTGCAAATAAAGCTAGACATTACACCAAAAAACAGAACAAGAGTGAGAGTGAGGGCTGGTTCTGCATCTGGGATAACTCTACAGCACAGCAAAGCGAGAGTGCAGAGGCCCCAGAGAAGAGAGTCGAAGACAAGAACCCAAGCCAACACAACAGAAACATGAGGCTTACGACAGCACGGGACAATACGACACAGGAAAAGCCCTGGCCCAGAAGACAGTATGTTCACTGAGTACTGAGCCAAGCTCAAGTCCTGAGCAGCAGAGTACAACACAGCAGAGGACAGAAGAAGAGCAAGGAAATCAGCCCAATTCAAGACAGTGGCCACTTCTCATTATTCTCTCCCCAGTTCCTCTCCTTAGTTAAGTCCACACATCTTCCTATTCAGATTGTTTCCATCTAGATGCCCAATTTCGACCACACAGTACTACTATTTTAAGTACCAGATCTGACTATTTCAGGGTATTTAAGAGTCACTTTTTACTGGCTACAATGAACACATGACTAGATACATCATCTTCTCCCATGCTACTTTCATAGCCATCAAGCCCTATTTTTCCCCCCTCCCTCAAAACTGGTCTTCACTGTTGCAGATGATCGTATGATGATGGATTAATCTTTATCAAGTTCACTATAAATTCTCTTTCAATGGTTGTGGCAAAACAGATTAAACAAGAAGGCCTGTCCATGAGCTTATAGAAATCCAAGTCTTTGATCCAAGTCTTAACAAACCACAACCTTCATTTAACCAACCTGCTAAAGACCTCTGTTGTCACTGTTGCTGTTATGTGCTATCGAGTCAGACCCTACTCATAGCGACCCCCTCCTTGGGTTTCCGAGGCAGTATCATATGGAAGTAGATTGCCCAACCTTCCTTCTGAGGAGTGGCTGGTGGGTTTGAACCGCCAGCCTTATGATTAGCAGTCAAGTGCCTTAGGCACTACACTAC